TCATCAATAAAAATTATCTCTTCTAAACAAGATTCTTTAAACGATTGTATATATCGTGCATCCTATTATATTCTTTGTGAGAAGAAAGATCTTCTATTTAGAGAATTTTAAAGTTTTTTCTCTTTAAAAAAAAAAGACATATATTGTAGAGTCATTTTTCACTTAGAAGATTTTTTCTATCCAAAAAACCTTTTGGACTATGGAATTCAAATAAAGTGGGAAATTCAAGACAAATTTGTAAACTTTTTTTCATTAAATTGAGATTATTTTATCTCACCTCTCCAATGAAATGAATTAGTTCAAGAATTATAATCTCAATATTATAATTTCAAAATAATTTAATCATTGAAGCATATAATTCTAACTTATTAAATTGTTTATGTGAAAATATTAAAGGTTTTTTTTTTTTGAAGAATTACAAGGTCATAGAGCAATATGTTTGGTATTTATTATATTTAAGAAATATGTAGATGTTCTATACGGTTAAATATTTGTAAAGATAGAATTGTCTAAATTATTCCTACACATTTGTAAAGATGATTTCCAGTGGTGGGTTGCGCTTCATCTTTAACCAGAGGTATCGAGTTCGAGTTCTGGGGATGAAAAAAATCTTGTTGGGACTTGGAGCGCCACCCATGATTGGATCCTGCAATGCGTGATCCAAATATAGTCGGGACTCCAATGTGGGATCCAAACACTAGATGAGAAACAAAAAATGATAAATAACTAGTTAATTACGTTGCCTACATTATACTTTTTTGCATGAACGTGAAATACAGCGTGCATTCAGTTATCAAGTATCTATCTTAGGTTTAATCAACTTGTCGAAATAGAACAAAAGGGGAACAGGGTTTCCTTTCATGAAAAAGATCTTTTTGGAGTTTAATAAGTTTGGAGTAATAATGTGAAAGATATTTATATCATTAATTTTAAGTAAATGTTTGACTTAATGAACTCTTGTGAATAACATGCATGGCATATTTTTTCATTTATTTATAAAAAAAATTCTTTCACAAATATAGTGGAAAGAACTTGAAACGGATTCCGAAGGTAATTATGTCTTTGGGACCTCATTAATTAAAAAAAGAAATCTTTAATCATTCTAATGCGTATAAATATATATATATATATATATATATATATATATATATATATTATATATTAGTATTTGTTATGTATTAATTATATATAATATATAGCCAAATAGAACGTACCCATTAAATGTATACTAATTAAAAAGGTGTACTTACTCAACAAAGTATATTAGTAAAAAATGCGTGCAATATTTATTCTAATGCATGCTACCAAACAATCCCTAAAAGTAGACGGAATAGTTCTTTTATTTGGTTTCACAAATTTATTATAAAACGAGAGTATTATAAAAAAAACACTTACAAATTTTGTGCACGAATTATTAGTTTTATCCTCGAATCATTGATAGTTTTAAAAACACCATTTTTATTTGACTAACTGAACTTAAATACACCTATGATCTTACAATGAGTGAAATACATCTCTAAATTCTCGTCAAGTTTATGAGTGTGAAAATGTAACTTCTCCCGAGTTTTTATTAAGAGCCCCATATTGTTCCTACAAGAGTTTGAGACTACTTACTATGTCATGTGCTAGATCGAGAATGTATATAAGTTTAGTTAGATAAGTAGAAGGGTGTTTTAGAACTATCAATAGTTCAGAAATAAAACTAATAATTGACGCTAATTTCAGAAATATTTTCAATATTTCTCTCTTTTAAAACAAAATAAGAAGATGAAAACACCACTAATTTTTTGAAACAAATAAAATAATGGTTATAGTAGTTGGAAAATCAAATAGTGGTGTGTCTGGTTGAATGGAAATCAAATACAGCAGAAAAGCATTTATTCTTCTACCACTCTGATCTGTATGTATGGGAAAAATGATAAAGATTTGACAAGCAATTTTTATTTTGTTGGGAATAAATTAAGGAATTAAATGAGCCAAAGATAAAGATTAACCAGTCATTTCTCAAGATTAAAATAAGATTTATCTCAATTATTGTTTATTGATGGTAAGCTTTTATATTAAATTGTTCACATTTTAGATGTTCAGATTCGGACGTAAAGGTGGGTTATTGAGTCTTACGTTATATATACTCTCCATGTCCATTTTTATTTGTCCACTATTTTAAAATAGTTGTCAACAATATTTATTCAGTTTTGAAAATTAAGAGATAATTTATATTTTTGTGATTTACCCTTGGTATTAAATACTATTCAACATCTATTACATTTTTCAAAGCATTAATTTTAATATATTCAAAAGGGGTAATATAGTAATATTACTCCTATTATTTATTGTTTCTTAAGGTATATGTCAAGTCAATAGTGTACAACTATTGTTGGACAGATGAAGAATATAAAAAGAATAAATAGTCTCCTTATATATATATATATATATATATGGTGTTGGACAATCCTCCTCTAATAAACTTACGTTAAGTCCAAGATCTATTTCTTTATAACCTTACATGAAATTATTGAAAGACTTTTTTCTTACAAATTGATTGCGTGAGTCATAAAATGAGTCATTAATTCTTGCATAAAAGAAAAAAAGTTGCATGTCTAAATAACGCGGTATACTTACATAGTTGCATGCACCAAATTGACCGTTTCACTCACATGAAGTTGTTCACTAGAATGAGTACTATTTCTAAAATTATTGGTCCTTTTGTTCCCTATCATAAAACCAAATCGAACTAATTTATCCACTTTATAATATATCAATTTATATCGTCAAAATAATATAAATTTTATTTTAAACTTAATTTTAAAAAAATAAAGTATAACATATATTTAAGAGAGCTTTTTAAAAAGTGCAGATATTTTTGTGTGTTAGATATTTGTAAGAACAATAAAATTGACTATATCTTTTTATCTAGACTCGTTCCACGTAAGTACACACGATTAGTCTTTAGTCATTTATAATCCACCAAATTCAAATCAATTACAAATCCTCGTCTCTTAAGTTCACTCTTCCAATTTTAGTTAATAATTTTGAGCTAACAAAATGTATTCCTAATTTAATCGTTTTTATGTTATTCTCTATAGCATAATAAGAACTTCAATTCATTTCAACCATGTTTAGAATAGAATTAAAAAGTTGTATCATGTATTTCATGATTATATATTAAAGAAATAGGTAAGATTCATATCACATTGTTGAGAAAATATAATAATAAATGATTAAATCATGTTACAAGCATTTGAAGAAATAGTGAAAATATTGCTTACATGTGAATGAGACAGTGTTGGCAAACAGTAGGATACAGAAAATGCAATGTCCTATTCATGGACAAGAGAATATTTAATGAATCATTACTTAATTTGTCCCTTTTTTTTTGGAGTCTCACATCGTTTATAGATACATGCATCTGGCGTACTCAATTACATATATCTCGAATACATGCGGATCAAATTAAGTATAATTTATTTAAGATATATTGTATTCAATCATAATTTACGTGTATCTGAAATATACTGACTCTCACTCTCTTTTCGGTCCTCTCTCACTCGCCTCTATCCCTATATATCTATTTTTTTTTATGTATCTGATATCAAATATCCCTCTCTTTTTTATAAAAAAAAAAATTGCGAATGGGATCAATATTAGACTTTTAATAGTTTGAGTTGGGTGTGTGAAAAATCAAATCGACCGATAAAACAAATTGATTTATTGCTATTAGGTTAATTATTAGGTTAATGGATTTTGAATGGTTTTTTTAAAAAAATTATCGAGTTATCAGTTTGGTTTTAGTTTTTTAATATTGGTTTATTGGGTAAATCGATAACCCATTAAGATTGTACTAATTTATTACTTTGCCCCTAGATAAATATTAATCTCAGTATCTTATTGGTTACTGTCTTTGCCTTTTAGCCTTCAATTCACATTTCACACTGACTTTGAGTTCACAGCTTCACATTATACAAAACGTCAAAACCTAAAGTAAGAACCTTATTCCTCTTAATTTCTCTTTGTGTTGCACTTGTATATATCTTTTCATTTTAGTTATTATTGTTTCTATTTTATGAGTGTTTAAAGTTACATTGTTGTCTTGCCGCGTCAAATTGTAGGTGAAGTCATATATTTATTTTATAATCATTTTCTTATTGGTTAAATCGAAAACGGAACCATTACAGACCAAAAATGATAAAACGAAAATCAATAAAAAAAATATTTTATTGATTTAACGTATTTAAAAATCAAAAATCGATAAACCAAACCGACAATACATAAAATTGAACCGAATCGACCGATTCACACCTCTACAACTTAATATATTAGTACATTTTGCACATAACTAGTACTCCCTCCGTCCCCATTTAGTTGTCCACTTTAGAAATGACACACAGATTAAGACAACAATAATTAGCATAGTGAAGTTACAATTTTACCCTTATAGTACAATATACTTCCAAAATAAATTCACTCAAGATAACTAATCAATGCTGGAAAGTTCATAAGTTTATTTACTTTATTTATGACAACTTTTCACTTAAATAAGGGTATAATAGGAAAAAACTATTGTCCTTTCTTGATTTGTCAAAATTGACAACTAAATAGAGACAACTAAAAGAGGAAATATGGACAACTAAATAGGGACGGGGGGAGTAATACAGAAAGTTGCATAACACTTTCTCATTTAGCACGGAATTTAAGGAAGTAATTTTTTTTTTGAATTTTGTGGTATTAAATTAAAGATATGACAAATATATCAAAATATCTTTTAATTTTATGGTCTTAATTAAACATGTCATGTTGAAATTACAAAGATGCTAAAGCAAGGAAAGAGACTTTTTAAAACAAACTAAAAAGAAAAGTAGGACAAATAATTAGACCAAATGAAGAAAAAAATGTTTGAAATTTTAACCTAGCTTTAGCTAGCATAGAAGGAACTATCTTAATATCCAATCTTAGATTTCCAAAATCACTTTTTGTTAATATAAGATGATAAGACTCGTGATTCAAGCAATCCAATCTTCAGTGTGTAAGGCGGACGCCCCCAAAATCTTTTCCAATTCCGCGGCGCTACAAGGAACTTCAAGAACACCCTTTTGTTGGAATCCATATTCATCTTCAGCTTGTTTTAATAATTTCAAGAATGATGGATTAGTGAGACAATGTAGCTCCACAATAAACCTCTTTGGCTCTTCCTCTGGATTTACTGAAAATATAGCAAAGTGTCCTTCTTTAACATCATTTGGTACCACTTCATTATTTGCTCTTGTTGTTTCCATTTCCACAACATCAAATTGATGTTTATTGGAATATTTGGGAATTAGTTGAAGATGAGTACTCTTGAGCTTTCTCATGATAAGCTTAAGTATGATCATGCAATTACTAATTCTTTCTTTCCCCATTATAGAATTGTTGAATATGTATGTTTTTGGTAAGGTAGGATATAAATTTGTTTTGCTTTTAAAAAGTGCTTAGGATGGCTATTTATACAAGAATTTGAAGGATATATATTGAAACTTCTAAGATGCTAACAATATAAACCCAATAGGGTGGTCCATTCGATGTGTGTTCTTGCAACTTGAAACTTTATGGTACTCTCATTAATGTTATCTTTTATCTATTTTTGCATAAATTTTACGGAGAGAAGTATAGATAACACTTCTGAACTTGACATAAATTATTAGTTTTGTTTTTGAATTATTGACAGCCTTAAAAAAAACATCCCTCTACTTGACTAACTAAACTTAGATACACCCTCAATCTGCCACATGATAAATCAAGTGGTCTCAAACTCTTGTAGGTGTTGAAAGTACCCCCTAAACTTGACGAGAATTTAGGGGTGTATTTTACTCATATTGCAAGATCGAGGATGTATTAATTAAGTTTAGTTAGTCATGTAAAAGGGTATGCCTAAACATATCAATAATTCGAAAATGAAACTAATATCTCGCGCCAAATTTAGGATTATTTTAGATACTTCTATCTTTTACAAATGGTCAAATAATTATGACTTAATTTTCATCAAAGACAAATAAATGATTAAACTATGTTATCTAACAGAAAATCATAAAACTTTTACCATATTAACACAAAAATTACTATGGCTGAAAATCCAACTTTTGATGGATAAAATGTTTTATTGCTTTTTAATTCTAATTTAATAAATAAAAAAATTAATTAAAAGAAAAGCAATTGCACCAAGACCCAAAATTCATATGTAAAAACTAAACCTCATCTTCACTCTCACCCGTGTAATCCCATTCCCATCTCCCTCATATCCCTATCCCACATTCCCTTTTTTTTAATATTCGTATAGATTATATATAAATACTTTTAATTACGTACTTTATACTTTAAACTTATTTAAACAAAATAAGTTTGGATCCTTGGATACAATATCCAAGTCTCATCAGTTTAGGAGTTAAATACTTAGATACACGCTAGTTTGCAATATTATGAATCTTATCAAATTTTGGTGCGCTCAGATATGTCTATATACATGTATCTCGAGATACGTAAGGTCAAAATTAGGTGTAATTTGTTCTATATACACTGTATCTAAGTGGATTCACAAGTATCTCAAGTACATAAATAAAATCTCGCTCACCTTCCTCGTCTCTCTCCCATCTCGCTCGCCACTCTCCTATGTATCTGATATTCCAGATATATGGAAATCACATTGGATACATACAAATACATATATATAGTGTGTATCTAATGTAATTCACGCTCACCACCCTCATGTTCTTACTCCCCTGTTTTCCTATTACAGACGATATCTGATAGCAAAAAACATATATCTAGATGTATCTGACATGAAATCTAATACTACCTCCGTCCCATTTTATGTGGCACTTTTCGAATTTCGAGATTCAAACAAGTCGTTCTTTGACCGTGAATTTTTCATAGATCTTTTAAACATTTTGAATTATCAATTATTGTGAATTATAGTACTTTTTGTGTAGTTTACAAATATATGGATTTCATTTCAAAAAAATTGAAGATTCCATGCGCAAATTTTCGATCAAACTTAAATGTTTGACTTTCAAAAAATGAAAAGTGTTACATAAATTGGAAAAGAGTGAGTATGAAACTATTAATTAGTGATATAATAATGGAAACGCACTACCACAATACTATAGTTGAGCTGTCCAGACTCCCGTATTGTACCTTAGTCCGTACACTAAAATAAATAATTGTAGGAAAGGTCCATGTGTTGGTTGGGAGTAGAAACGATATAAATTTTCCGTTTCAATTTGTTTGTATTTATTTAATTTAGGGTTTAAGAAATAAAAATAAAAATAACTAAATCTTGTGAACTAAAAATTTGTAAAAGATATATTAAAAAAATCTTTTAATTTTATGTTCTTAAATATATCATGTGAAAAGTTAATCTCCAAAATGGTAAAAAAAACCATCCTTTTTAAATATTCTAAACAGAAGGTAAACAAACAAATTTAAATGAAAAGATTACTACTCCTTAATTAATTAAGACCACATTCCCTCATTATGCCAAAGCAATTCTATAATGATCTCAAATTAATACTATATATAATAAAATAAGTTAGCTCACGATCAAATTATAATTTGGTGAATTTCTAAATACATATACAGAATCTCGACAAAATCTATAGATCCATTGTATAATGTTGCACGCCTGCAACGCGTTAGAGGGCATTCTTCACAAAAGTGAGGAAAAGAACAAAGAAATGTCATATATAACTAATTAAACACTCTCCAAACAAGGACAGAGATAGAAGTCTGAATAAAAATTTAATCGAATTCAATAAAATTTGTTTTAATTACAGAGTTTGTTTAATTGTATAGACAATTAACATTCAATCTTGAAACTCAATCATTAAAATTTAAAGTCGTAATTTTATAATTCAAAATCCATAAACTTGATGTTTTACTTTTCTGAATGACTCTTCCTAAACTAATGGGCCTCTTTTTCGAAACTAAAGTAATTCATTGTTTAAATCAATAAATGAAAATAATATTTTTTTGAAAATTTTCAAAATTGGTATAAACATATTAACGTATTAGACAATTATTTGAGTCCAATTTCCTAATTATACGGGAGTCCTAATACGAGGGTTATTTGTGCATGAAATGGTTTAATTTGAGGTGATTAATAATGAAGATATTATTTTACAACTTATACTAAAAGAACATTTTATTTTTAAATAGCTTAATCTCTACGATGGCAATACGAATATTCTCATTTTACATTTTATCTCACATAAAATAATACTCAAGCCTTTAGTCGAGCGGTAGAAACGTAACTTGTGATGTGTAATTTAGATAAGAACGCACCCACCCCTCCCCCCACCCCCCCGGATCATCATAGTAAATCCTCTTATTACCTATTCAGGTGAAAGCGTTTATTTTCTTTCAATCAACAAAATGATAGAGAGAGAAAAAATGATAACAACCGTTATAAAAAGCATAACATATAATCAAGAAATCTTTTAAAGGGGGTTTAAATTAATAAGAGGAAAGATAGATCATTTCTTGTTCTTCTTCTTCTTCTTGTTTTCAAGAATTTTTTCCAAGTCACTATGCCTACAAACAAGTACTCCTTCTTGTTCGAAACCAAACTCTTCCTCAGCTTGCTCTAACAACCTTACAAATCCTGGATCCGCCAAATAGCTCAACTCAACGATGAACCTCCTTTGTTTCCCATCATCAATTGCATGCACCACAAAATGTCCGTCCTTCACATCTTTTGGAAGGGGTAATGAGGCTGCTTCATCCTCCCAATCATCGAGTGCAAACTTAAAATTAGATCTTCTTGAGAATTGGAGGATCTTTTTTAGTTTCTTCGCGATATGCTTTCGATTTGTTGTACCTATAAACATCCTTAAAAATTGTTATTCTTTACTCAGACAATCGTATAATATAGAAAGAAAATGTTAAGAGCAAAGTTTATACATAGTTTAGGGAGAACAAAGGATTTGGTTTGTGAAAAGCATAGATGAGATGAAATGCATGTGAAATTTATTAACAATATGTCTATGAAGCATCACTTCTAGCTACCTTGTCCTCTTAAGGACAACATGCACCTAGTATTTTACTTCACATAGTTTGTTTTCTTTGCATCTCAACTAGTTCCACGAGGTAATTGCTACTTCCACTAGCTTGGACAGATGGAAAGAAATCACTCATTGTTTTTATCTAAGCGACACATGAGTCAAGAGTCTTTCAGATGTAGTCTCTCTACCTCCACGGGATAGGAGTAAGGTCTATAGGCACTCTATCTTTCCCATACTCCACTTGTGGGATTACACTAGGTATTTTGTTGTTTTTATTTTTGCTGGGATCTGAACGTGAGATCTCATGGTTCTCAACTGACTTCATTGATCATTAGTCACACCTACTACTCTGTTTCATCTAGTTTCTTTACATTAAATTAAGGAAGGACATATGGGGACCTCTTAGGTTAATGATGTAAACCTATACATAAGAGATCAATCAATTCTATACAAGTACTTTAGCAAGGGACCTTTTAGGTTAATGATGTAAAACTACACATAAAATGCTCAAATGTAGCAAGTGCTTTTAAGTAGCAGACAGCAAGCACAAACACTTCCATAGCTATATTGCTAATTTAATGAGGGCAACTTCCCATCTGACTTGTTGAAATAACAACTGCAAAGTACAGTATCTGATCACTTATTGCAAAGTAAAATGACTTCTCTTGTTCAACTACAATCACTAAATATTACCGCTAAAAGGAAAATCTATTGTCACTAAATATCTCCTTTGTTATACTGATATCGATCACATAGTGGATAAATAAGGATCAGTATACACATGCAACATTGTCACTTATATGCACAAACAAGCTAGATTCAATATTATATGTGTGAGGCTCGTAGTCAAGAAAAATCATAGAATCAGAGGGTTATATTATAACATTGATGGAAAGGTTGAAAGGGCACGTGAATGAAATTGAACTCATAATTACCAAATCTGGTATGACATTTTCGTTTACCATACATAACATGAGTTTGTTTTTTCAAAACATATATGAATTTTTGCTCAAGACTTGGAAATTTTACTCAAAATTTTGCCCAAAATTTCATGTGGAGAAATGATTTTCTAGCCCTTTACAAAATTTATTAGTTTTATGTCTTTTTTATATAATATTGTTATGTTTACACATATCAGATCTGAAAATGTCATTTTCTTTTATTCAAATTGTAAGAGGACAAGAGATCTCATATCCACAATTTCTTTTATAAAAACGCTCAATATGAAATATGTATACAACTGTATAAGTATTGTATAAAGTTCATGTTAAGTTTCTGGAGAAACCCAAATTTCATGTATATATAAAGTATTTCATGTTAAGTTTCTGGAGAAACCCAAATATGTAAAAAGTTCGTGTTGATTTCTGAAAATTTAATACTACTAATTCAACAACATTGTATACACAACTTCTATACAATACTCATACAAATTTAATACAACTACAACAACATACAAAAGTTAAAAAATTTCTTTGCTTTTTTAAAATTTCGTTTCAAATCAAAATCATACTAACAAATAAAAATACTTTGTAGTGTTTAATCCAAAACAAAAATAACGTGCATTATTTTATACATTTTTAGAAGAAGCCAATAATCAAAGTCATAATCTCCATGAATCATTGCCACATAAGTATTTAATCCAAAACAAAAATAAAATATATAGCTTCAGATCAATGATAAGATTAAAGTTGTAACAATTTGTTTGGATAACGTTAATCGACGTGTAAGTGACAAAGATACGAGAAAATGAATTTACAATAGTATATAATTATGAAACCTAACAAATCACCGACATTGATTAAATTTCAATTTAGAAATGTTTTTATTCTAGCTCTCTTGAGTTATGGGTTTTTATAGGCGAATATAGAATTTGAAGTTTACGAATTCTGATAGTAATATCAAGTTAATATACCAGAACAATTGAATTCACAATGATTTAACATTATTGTGAATATTTAATAAATATATTAGTGCATATAATGCACTATGAATTTGTCATTGTTGGATTCTAATTAATATAAATAATTTTTCTAGATTAAATAAATTTTAAAGATAAATAATGTTTAAACCAAATGTATTGAATATCTTCAAATTATATCTCCATTTAATAAAATATCTTGAATTTCAATCCTAATATGAAATTGTCTTCGATAAATAGCATATTAACCCCAAAGTTACCAATAAGAAATTTTTATAATGTAAATCTAAATTAATACGATACTAAAATAAATATCAAATAACAAATTGAACACATAGTTTTCCCCGAGCTTGAGACACACCTCACGAGTCACGATCATGCACACCAATTTATATATTAACTTGATATATATAAATTATTGACTTATTGCCATCATGTTTCTTTAATATTCAATAATTAATCATATTATAAGGGTATTGATGACTTGAGAGTCTTTCACGTAATATTTTTTTGCAAGTATCTTTATTTTAAAGCACTCTATATCAAAAATTATCTTTAGCGACAATTAATTGATATCAATAGTTTAATTGTTGCTGAATATGTTTTTTTCAATGGCAATAAAAATTCTTTGTAAATGTCTCTAAAACCTATAGCTAAATTGGATCCAATGACAATTAACTAATGTTGGTAAAATTAAAGTTTTAGTATTCTTGTGAATGTGTATATTTATTACCATTGAAAACTATTTTTGTTGTAGCGCGCACTTCATTTGTGATTTCACAATATTTAATCCCTCTTTGTGTTGATTTTTTTTTTTTCAATATTGCTACACATCATGATCAAATAACTAAATAACTTTAGTTTTGTTGGAGCTAACAAAATATAAATTCATTTTGTACCTCACAAATGTACCTAATTAATTATCGTGTTGAATTTTGAAACCACTTGATAGATATACTTGCACCTCAGATTTCACTCTCATAACAATTTTGGCCGGTTTGGTGGTGACACATCAAAGAGATATTTAAAAAAATTGCATACATTAGAAATTTTTAAGTTTTATGTATAAGTCGTGTGTAAATACAAGGGTCGTGGTGGAGTGGTAAGAGGTTTCGGGTTCATGTCGCCTTTGTTAGAGAACATTTTACCCACAATGTGGAATTCAAATTTAATTGAATTCGAATATGGATACCAGGCACCAGGTGGAAAATCAAAAAATATATATTTACGCTATCAAATTACCAAAATATATACTATATATTTTTAAGTAAAAGATTTTAAGATATAAATTTATAATTTAGAAAATAAAGTATATTACATGTCATAACATGTGAATTAAGGTGATATAATAATATAAAATTTCTTATACTAACGTAGAGTACATATTAATTATGATTAATGGAAATGCGTCTTTTTCTAACACAATCAGTGGCCACTATATATTCTTTTGTGCTTCTTTTTTGTGCTTCATTCAGTCAAACATAAACTAATTTTTTAAACACAAAGCATAAGCAATTGACACAAGTGTTTCTAAAATAAAAAAATACATTATATTAAATGATTTTACTCATACACAAATCACAATATAAAGAAATTTTACAGTCATACTTCTCTTATTTTTTAGATTATTAATTTCACTATGATATTTTTTACTGATCTATTCATTATATATGGTTTGTTTATATATATGCCAAAACTCTATTGAGAGGTAATAATTTTCTAATCTTGTTTATTTATATTTTTTGAATTAGAGATTTTTACTTTTACATTTAAAAGATTTCTTACTAAAATTGCAAGAAGACAAATATGTAGGCAGTGTGGTGAATGGATTGGGAAACTCTTGAAGAAAAAGCAAGAAAACACGTGCAGCCAGAAATGGTAAATCTTTGAAGCAAAGTCAAATGAATGACTCGTGTGCTAAAAGATTTCATAATTTTAATTTAATTAAGATTTTAATATAAATTTTAGCTATCGAATCAAAAAACAAAAATTATGACCTTCAACCTTCGGTCTGTACGTTGCAATAAAACATAGTGGTGACAAGACCATGCACATTATAAAACATAGTACTCTCACTCCCTCCGTTTCACAAAGAGTGACCTGGTTTGACTTGACATAAAGTTTTAGAAAATAAAAAAGATTTTTAAATCTTTTGGTCCTAAATTAAAGTTATGTCAAATGTATTAAATTGCCCTTCAATCTTGTGGCTTTAAACATGCACGTGGAAAACTGAAATTAAAATGTTACCAAAAAAGGAAAGAGGTCATTCTTTTTTAAACAGACTAAATAAGAAAGAAGGTCATTATTTTTTAATCGGAGGGAGCATTATATTTTCACAATGTTATAAGAGTGTCATTGATTCATTGGTCATTTCCACATGTCAAAGTTGTTGGACATGTGTCCTTGACTTAACCTAATTCCAACACTTGTCACATTATGGCATAGTCATAGGAAACGTGTCGTATCCGAGTTGATGGGAGATATGTTCTTCTTTTTACGGTATAATTGCTAACAGAGGAACCGAGTTCGTGGGTTTAGTCGAACTCAATAATGTATATTAATTTGTGAATTTTTAACATGTTCGTGGATTTAGTCGAACTCAATAATATATATTAACTTGTGAATTTTTAATATGTTCGTGAATTTAATCGAACTCAATAATATATATTAACTTGTGAATTTTTAACATAATTGATTGATGGCAGTAGTAAGAAAGAGCTGTGAAAATACTTTTCACATTAAGGAACTGTAGGTTCAGACCTTACTATCAATTTATTAAAAAAAATTAGAACTTCAAACTCTTAATACTGACTGCCGGCTCCACCAATGATAAACAAAAGATATGCAACATTATTTTTGATTAAAAGTTTTGACCTTGGAGATAAAATATCTTTGATAAAAGCATCTTCCCTCAATTTTAAAAAAAATTAGCTTTGTATACTGTTTCACTTTAATTCTGATAGCTGAAGAAGTTAAAACTGAACTATTTTGGATAGTGATGTTTCAATTTAAAACATAATTTACCTAACTAATCGACTTAAATATCATGTTTTATTTGGAATGTGGAAAAGTGAAGACTATTAATCCAAAACTATCACTAATTTGAGGGCCACCATTATTATTATTATACAATTAAATTGCACAAAAAAAAACCCAATTGTATTAATCTCTCCGTTCTAAAATAAAATATCGACTTACGAAAATGAAATTATCCCAAAATATGTATCAGTTCACCTTAAAAATTCAAGATAAAAACTAATATGCCTTTCCAATCATAATCTTATACTCCTTAATTATGTACTACAAGTTAAAAAGACATTCATTAAACAAAGATAATTCGATAAACTACACATTGTATTTTGTTGATTTTATAGTAGACATATTTTTTTTATTTTTTAATGGACATGATTTGAAGTCACTAACTTTTATCATCAATGTATGCCTAAACGAACAAATAAACCAATGAATGCAATTGCCACAAAGGAAAAGAAAACATGAAACTGAAAAATTGAAATCAACTAAACCTCAAAAACTCTCTAAACTTGTAATTTCCTAAACAAAAACTATGATATCGTACATACTATTTCGTATACGAACGCTATATATAAGTGTTGTATTTTTCATTTAAGCTAAACTTGATCTTCCCTTTATGTCACATGACGGAACAAGCATTAGGATTTTCATCGCTGAAATATTGAGGTGCAGAGTATGGTGGTGGTACATACCCAGAATGATCATGATCATGATCACGCGGTGCAGTAAAGTGTGGTGGTGACACATATCCAGTTCTATATCCATAACCATGATCGCGCGATGCAGTTAGGTATGGTGGTGGTGGCATATATCCAGTTCTATATCCATAACCATGATCGCGCGATGCAGTTAGGTATGGTGGTGCTGGCATATAGCCAGTACTATGACCATAATAACCATGATGATCCTGCATTGTCGCGCCATAATCTTGATTCACATGATTTTGATTGTAAATTGATGGCGGCATTGTGTAGTACATATTTGGATTACTGTAACCGTTACCACCATAGTCACATTCTTTTTTGTTGTTCATCACCTCTGTCTTTTGCTCTTTTGGTTCTGTGCTTTTACTTGCCATTCTAGACGATGATGCACCGTCTTTCTTTTTTCCATCACCACCACTACCACGACCACCACCACGAGCAATTTCTTTGTTCTTCTTGTTATCACACCCGCTACCTGATCCATCACCTTTCTTCGGTGCAACAACAGCTACTTTACGTTTCAATTCCTTTATAAGAAATTGCTTTACTTTTCGTGCAGATCCGTCACAATGCAGCTGAACTACCTCTGTGTTACATTGAACCTAAAATAAGTTAGGAAAAAATGTGAGACTTTACTCCTCCAATACTCAACGCTCATCGAAATTCAATGTGTAAACATTAAGGAGAAATATACCCCGAATTATCATAAATAAATAGTATGCAGATACTTTCGTCATACTTTTGGACATTGATATCCATGCCGTCCAAAAACTAGAACATATATACCCTTTATACTAAGGGACATACACTTTATACTAAGGGACATACACGCGTCATACTCTTATTCGCCGATTAAATATCGAATCGACGGATAAGATTACGCCACGTATCCCTATTTAGTCATCCGTTAAAGCATACATGCTATAGTTTTTAGACGGCAAGGGCATCAATATCCCAATAATATGACGGAGCGTATCTGCATACCATTTACGATAGTTCGAATATACTTATCCCTTTTCCCAACATTAAAATTAGTCAAATCGACTTTTGATGAACGAAAGGGATAGGGGAAATCAAATTTTCCAGAACATGACTATGAAGTGTACATTAGAGAAGTAAATTACTACCTTTTTGGGCTTTTTATCTTCCCCTTTCTTCTCCTCTGCTACCTTATTCTCAACCTTCTCATCGGATTTTTTCTTCTCCTCTACTGCCTTGTTCTCAACCTTCTCATCGGATTTCTTCTCTCCTCCGGCACCGGTGGTGCCGCCGACGGCAACCTTTTTGGGCTGAGCAGAGAGGAGCGCCACCTTCTTCTTAGTCTTGCTTTCCACCTTCTCCCGGAGCCATAAGGGATCCACATTCCCTTTCACCGTCAATTTTCCACTACTGGCATCCGCCTTCACGTCTTCCACACCTTCATTAAAAAATTAATAAATTCAAAAACAATATCGAATCGAGATTTTACCCCTACCTTAGGTATAGAAAAACTGTTTTCGATAAAACTCGCTAATTTCAAACATAGTTCCTTCTCCTACTGTTCTATAAACTGTAGATCTCGAATTAACTAATTTATAAAGTACGTAATAATGTTCAATTTAATTAATTTACCTTCAAAGTGACGAACGGAACGTCTAACTTTTTGAGCACAACCTTCACAATGCAAATCTAATTTTAACAGAATAGTAGCGATCCCGACGCCGGCGTCGTTTTTCCCACCGCCGGCCGACTTCTTTCCGGCTTCATTCTTCTTCTTCTCAACTTTGATTTTTTCCTTTTCCTGAAACCCAAAAAATTAAACAAAAAAAACATAATTCAGTACAATTAAAACTGAATTAAAGAAGAATTAGAGGATTTAGAAGAAAGAACTAATGAAAATTACCTCACCCATTTGAAGAAATTAGAGAATTCTTCGAGGATGAATTATGAGAATATTAGAGTTTTTTTATGTTTATTTGAAAGAAATTATTATTATTAATTGAAGAGAGAAAAAACAGAGGTAAAAGTGGAGAATATATAGAAAATGGGGAGACACGGTTTTCTATGGTTTTTTTTTTTTCTTATTTAGGACAAATATTTATTTTAATTTAATAGGAAACTACATCCTCTTACACACTATAGAAAGAAAAAAAAAGAGACGCGTATGTATTAAAATAATTTACAATTATATGTAAAATTTATGTAATTTTCCTAAACAGGATTATTTAATTATGTTGTTTAAATTTTACCTTTGTTTTTTAAGGAAAATGTTCAAAAATAGCTAGCCGTAATACACAAGAAAGAATGAAAATTACCTTTTTTCACAAGATTTTTTAAAGTGGTATTATTTTTAATATAATTTTCGTTCTATTTATTTTGTTAAATTGTTCACATGTCGGGAGAAAACTTGCCTTGTTTTGTTATGTTGGGAGGGTCATAACTTTTGTATAAATTAGCTTCACAATTAAATTAATATTTCAATACATATGTAAAAATTGAGTAAAAGTTATTGAGTTTTCGTAGTGAACTACTGAATCCACACGCAACATATTGGACTACCCCTTCGACCATTGATTTACATTACATTTGAATTTGTAGATTTAATTTGTCTCAACATAAATATATTTTTGTTGGCCTTACGTATCTTATTTGTTCACCTCTTCAATTTAGCAGATGGAAATATAATCTTTGTGACTTTGACACATGAAAAATTGTCACGACCCAAAAATGGATGTGATGGCACTCGTCGTATCCCACCAAGACAAGTCAGCCTAAAACCCAATCATTTCGATAAAGTGCGGAAATAAAGCAAAGTTCAATAGCAATTACTATTACGAAAACAAGTCAACTTAATTCAATCCCCAAAACCTGGTTGTCACGTGCACAAGCCTCTAATGTAAATACTAGAATTGAAAGAAAATACGCAAGTCTCAAATGACGTTGTCTTTCAAGTAAAAACAAAATCATAAACAGGAGTAAGAAGGTTCGCTGAGATGACAAACAGCTACCTCTCAGATCTCCACAGAAAACCTCGGAAACGAAGAGAATTGAAGGTATCACGAAGATCCGGGCTCGTAACCTACAAAAGATTGTAGAAGCAAGGGGTGAGTACCAAACCACACGGTACTCAACAAGCAAACCTCTAAACACAAGCTAAGAGTACAGAATACGGGTACTCCTTACACCCCATCCTAACCTCCATAACTACAACCTGCATAAAACCAACCCAACCTAACAATTTACAATTTACAAAGCATACAACTCAACAATAGCACTCTAACAGGTCATATATTCTCAATAACACCTCAATATTCGTCAATAACCAATTTCACAGAAAGGCACTCACAAGATCAACAACACACAAGATCAAGTTCATTAATAATAAAAATGTGCAATGCAATGAAATGCAATGTCAATTATAGTGATGCATGTCTGACCTAATGATACACACCCGCTGTCTCTCAGTCCGGGACCCATGGGGGACATATCTGTCCATGCATCCATCGCGGCGCGCGATACGTCCCTCGAAATATAATATCCGTCGCGGCGCGCGACACGTCCCTCGAAATATAGTATCCGTCGCGGCGCGCGATACGTCCCTCGAAATGGTACATCCTCCTTAATTTCTTATTCTTTCTCAATGCACATAACACTTGTCACAACCATGTCTCATAATAATGCAAATGACATGTTCACACAAATAATGAGGAGATGACCATTTTCATAACATTGCACAAATCACAAGTTCAACGATGATTCAACAAGTCTTTCAAACAATTCTCAACACATTACACAAACAATTGATCACATTACTCCCAAACATATACCACAAGGAAATACACGAATTTCATACGCTTAACAAGGGTTTAGAAATCCACTTGCCTTAAATAACCGAATAATCACTCCGAGACTTGAGTCTTCCCTTTCCGTTGAGCTTCCAAATCAATGTAATCTATTCAAGTGCATATTCACAATAAGATTTCAGAACTAACAATGCCCATATTACTATAGGTTTAGCCTAGACCCAAAAATCATCCGAATTTATAATCAAGTTCCTAAATCTTGATGTCAACTGTCAATTAACATGTCAACTCTCATATTTTCCAAATTTCAAGCTTAGGGTTAAGTTTCAATTTCTCTAAATAATATAATTTTAATGATCTTTATATATCACAATACACCCACTATTTTATTACATATCTCAATTATTACCAAAACTTGAATCATATGAGATAATTAAATGAAAATAATTGAAGTCGAAACTAACTACTCAGCACCCCAGTGGCGGACTACAAAACTACCTGCTAAAACAACCTATTTTCAATGTTTCAATCCATATTCCTTGTCCCACTACTAATAATCCTAATCATGGTCCAATGATTAGGAGTAATCATTATCCAATGATTGGACCATAATACTTACACTTATTTATAATCCCATGTTCAGAACGTCAAACCTATATACCTTCGATTTTTATTTCTGGTTTGTTTTTCATTCACAGGAGTCCCACATTTTTAATACTAATATTAGGACGCCTACTCATATGCACAACACAAAGATAGGCGTGGTTGATAATTATGATTACCTGAACGTTTTGTCGTCCCCTTAGATTGTGCCGCCGTAGTATTCTTTCCCGGAAGCTACTTTTGTTCTCGTTAATTTGTCGTTTACCAACATAAAAACCCTACTAACTTATGTTAACATGGGTCAAATAGTTAGGGTATTAATATATATATTATGGCATTGACCCATTAACCGCCAACTAAATAAATAAATTATTTAATATATACCCATCAATTAAATAACCGTAGTTATCGAATAATTCAAAATTTTCAAATCAACTTCACCGACTAATCAAAAATTACTCGAGTCAACTATTGAGAGGGGTAAAAACGGAAATTTTATGTAAATTTCTAAAAATGATAATCCGGGTCATTACAAAAATACACGCCAAGAAATCCTAAATTCACACAAGCACATCAATTAATAATGCCAAGAATATATAATTGAACCCAACATGAACTAATTAAGAGCTAATAAAAATGTAGGGATATATATGATCAAAACAAAGTTTGGGAAATCCGGATAAAAGGGAGTAGTTCGGATGGTAAGCAGTAGTCTTCGAGTAATCTAGGAAACGTAAAGGGTGAGAGATCCTAGGTAAGGATAAAAAAAATAAAAAAAAAATAATTATTTAATTAACTGGCTATCTGAGTCTAATATTTCATTTTATTGATTAGAGTTTGATATTTGATTTCTTTTCATATAAATGGGGTCCTCCATAAAGGAATTGTAGCCGAGTAGTGGTTATAATAGTCGTAGTAGAATATTTATGAGTTAGCATTTAGCAAGATATTCCCCTACCACCTATGAGGAAAAAAGCTTCGATTCATTTCATGGGAAGATGAAGAGTAATAATTAAGAAGAAGATTGAGAAACTTCATCGAAGGCGTTGAGTTCGATCTTTTGTTTTTTTTTTTTTTTGGCGACGCGATGAGTTCGATCTTTTGTAAATAAGCCGAATTAAGATTTTTAGTTTATGAATTGTGAATTTTGACTTTTTTTTATATATTAGGTTCCAATTGGATCATTTATATACATATATTAAATAAATGTATTTTAAATCACAACTACATATTTTCATTATATCAATAATTTGTTTGCCCATGCTTTTTAATTTCGATTGTTTGGAAAAATATTTTTAATGAGAATTTTTTTTCAAAAAGTACTTTCGAAGAGTAATAGTTTATGTTGGCAAATCAATTTTTTTAAAAAATACTTTTCTCAATATTTGAGCAACAATTTGTGTTTGATCAAATTTTAGAAATGTTTATGCTGAAACACTATAATTTCTTTCAGTTTCTGAAATATAGTTTCTAGTATACTACTCAAAAATACACCGTTATAAAAAAAATTGTGAGGTTACATCTTTATATTTTAAATAATTTCATAAAAATCCCAACTTATCCACTCGCAATAGCCATAGCTAGAACAAGAAAACGAAAGCACAAGATTGTATAGAAGTTATGTGAGCTGGCCATCTACTTCTAATACTTGTAATGGTCCCAATATATATAGTACTACCTGTTATTTCATTCTAAGTTGTATAAGATTAGTTGTCGAACATAACTCTCTTGCAACATGTATTTGTCATTTGTTGAGCACCTGTTATTTAATTTTAAGTTACCTTGGACAATTTGTTTTGTTTCATGGTAATTCGAATCCATAAACCTAGAATCGGAGGTGAAACATACTTTCCATTCAAGCAATCCCTCTTGTCTCCCAAGATCAGGTAAATATGCCAGATAATAATAACAAATTACTTACCTAACTAGTTTTTTTTTTGGTTTCCGAACTGATGTTCGATATCCATATTGGAGCATGATTAAATCCAAATATTTGCATCAGAAAGTCTCACATTGGAAGGTAAACCACTACCCAACAAAAGTGACTCTATACCTAGAGGGACCCAAACTCAAAATCTCTGGTTAAGGATGACGGAATAGTTGGATCCCGACAAGTTTTTGTTCTTGTAGTGTCAAACTAATGATTGGGCCTCTAGCTACCACACACTCAACTGGATGCTGAAATGGGCCGGTTGATTGTATAAAGCCACACTTTGCATGTATGATGCAAAGTGTCCAATCACCTAATGTCATCTTGCAATATTAATAGCATAAGTCAACTCAAATTAAAAAGAAAATAAATAACTATAATATAGTTCGAAAAAAAAAACTATAAGAGGAAAGGTAGAGTTGGATAATTGCTTGGTTTTAGTTTATTTATTGTGGAAGTGTTCCAATTATGGAAACAAACTAAATATAAACATTTTCTATTGTTAGACAAAGTTCTACAATTTTGTCCATTCTTTAGTGAAGCCCTTTTTTTCTTTCCAAAGATTCTCACCAAAATACAACTTGCAAGTTGCAAAAGTTGTTCAAAAACCTCATTAACTTGTCTACTA